CAGCGTAGCCAACAGGAAGGAAACCAAACAAGCTAGACAGGAAAGCATAAGGAAAAACTCCATCCCGTAAACTACAAGACCCATAGAGCCACAAAAGAAAACAACCACTGCCCACCGTACTACCAGATTTGCCGTTATTTAAAGAACCGCCCCCGAAGTGGGCAGCCGGCGACGAGCCCTAAGGCCAAGCGCCCCCAACCAGCTAAGCCACAGAAGTAGTGCAATACCATGACCCGCCAATCGAGAACAGAGGCCATGGTGCCAGTCCCAAGGAATAGATGTTTGGCAGAGGGGATTCCGCCCAGCAGTAGGATGCCAGCCAAAGGGAGGAGGTAGTAGGGTACCAGCCAAGGAGGGAAGGCAGTAGGGTGCGAGCCGACGCGACCGAAGTGGAAAGTGGAGGTAGGGCCAAAAAGGCCCCAGTGCCAACCCGACCGTAGACCGAACCGACGTATTACCGCGTCTCTCATGTAGTCCCTTATTCTCCGAGAGATAACGTCACTTAGTGGAAGGGATCCCACCGTCAGCAGGGAGATGGAAGGGCGAGGTGAGGAAGGCAACCAAACTTGAACCGAGCGACTAGGAGGGTATGGTCAAATCTCATCGCGAGACAGACTCCGAAGTTACTAGCCGAGACATTCCCCAACGGGGATTGTGCAAGTGGGGAGAAGGACATCCACCACTGCCAGTGCCGTCCGGAAGCGAAGAGAGGAAGCCGACCGTGCCAAAGCTAAGCGAGCCCCTATTAGCAAGACAGGACTACTGGGTGAGCCCAGATAACTCCCCCATTAAGCAGACAAGAGACAAGCGAGGCCAAAGCGGGAGAGGATGGTAGAGTTAACCGTGCCCCTAGGCAGGAACCATCGAGGGGGCAGAGGGGAGTGGGAGGGCCCACGATAGTTGACGTGGTGTTGCCAAACTACGTGGGAGGAAAATAGGAGCGACGGAGCGTGATAGGAGCGACGGAGCGTGACTGTCCAGAGGTCCCAGGACCTCACTATTTATACAGACACCTCATCTAACTGTAACCATATGTAACTCATACCTTCTCATTACCATATCCTATGACTCATAATCGTGAGTCATGTGAGATCCTCAGTTGACTGATATCAGTCAACTGCACAATATACCTAAACCAATCATAATCATTATAACAGGTCATATGTGCTAAATGCATCACATGCATGCATGACTCATAAGTATAAGACACTATTAGGAATACCGGGATCTGATACCTAGAAACTATCCTAAGTTGGGTAACTCCACTCAGAATAGGAATCTCCGGCCTCCAACATTACCCTCCAGTCTCCTTACCGGTCCCACATGTCATTATACATATTAATCTCAGTTGCGCCCTGTGACTATAACACCACAAAATTGAAGGTATAAGAATAACACCATATACATTGCTGCTGTCTATCTGGCTAGAACCTGTTCACAGAGTATATGAGAGGAGATCTTGGCTTGCTTTGGGAAGTAGAATGGAGTAATTCTGTCAACTACTCAGAGAGTTACTAGACTTCAAAGATGTAATATCTTTGGCATGGGCTATAAGTAACGAGAAGTTTTCGCAAAGAGATTATATCAAATCGTAAAGGATCTCAACAAGAAACCATTACATTCACACCTACCCTACGATAACCAGAAGAGTCTAGAACTCCAAGAAATACTACTGCAGAAGTCAATGGACTTTACAGATTGTTATAACTGGGTCAAAGAATACGCTAAGGTTGCAGGAATGATTCCTAATACTAGAACAGCAATTGAAACCCCATTACTCAAAATGACTAAGGGTTGCCGACTGAGGGATTATCTGTCAATCCGGTAGAATAGCTTCTAGCAAATTAGTAGGAAGTTCTCTGGAAAATATTTGTTAGTTGGATATAGAGTTATAAAGATTTGAAGTCAGGCAATGTAGGAACATTGCAATTACAACTAACTTTGCAGATACAACCTACAGATGAAACTGATCATTTCATCAATGACAGAGATATTTGGAGCCAACTCAGTTCAACTTGAGAACTAGGCCATAAGTCTAAAGACTCTGATGATTGGATAATTACTATTGGGAATAGCATGGTTCCTAGTTGGCTATATCATAATTATCAAAGAGGGTGTGGTGATTTTCAGAGTCTCCAGGTGTTTGCATCTTTGAAGAAAACCTGGTATTGTGAGAGAGTTACATGGTTGTATGATAAATTGATGTAGTCTGCAAATACTCAGATGCGGAATATAAATATCGAAGTGTCTCCCAAGCTTTTAGATATCTTTAAGTAATGGAGAAGACACTATAGCAATATAATATTGTTCTTATAATTCTATTTTACTTTACCTACTTTACTTTGCTCTTAGTTATCATAACCGAAAACGAGTATAATCTGCAACTTCCTAGATAAACTCCGTCTATAAAAGGAATCTTGGTTGGCCTAGACAACTCTGAAGTCTATCAGGTTATCTCCGCCTAACAGACACACGTGAAAGTTATAACATCATATGACTCATAACTGTGAGTCATCGCATAACAATAAATCCTTATGACTCACAAGCATGAGTTATATGAAACTCTTTGTTTCTCCTCATCAATCTGCCTTGTCACAATCTAGTTTGTGACATCACTAAATACTTCTAAAAGTTTAATTACATTCAAACTTAACACAATATTACTTCTAACATTCCCTACAACCTTGATGGAAAGGGATTTATGATAGAAATATCAGTTCAGATAAAAGTAATAACCAGCATAGGACAAAGCAATTCTTGTGTAACCTATGATGGAAAGTGGGAGCTAATTACAGATCTGAAAACAATCTGTACTTCAGGAATCTGTCTTCCACTATTCATTATTTCCAAAGCACATGTAGGACATTGTATGAGTTGATATGGGAGTTTAAATAATCCAGATGCACTATTAGCCTATTCTCTAAAAGGGTGGACAGATGAAATACTCGTGTATAAGTACATCACACACCATTTTAACTGCTTTGCATCACCCTCTGCAGCAGGCTGAAAACGCCTCATCATTCTAGACAGGCATTCCTCACATACTAATTAGGACTTTTATATATTCTCTATTGAGAATGAGATTATTTTACTATACCTACCCTCACATTCAACACATCTTGTACAACTACTCGATGTCACTGTCTTTGGTCCTCTTTAATATTTCTATGGCTTGGCAGTAGATGACGTTTCTCAGCAGCAAGGTAGTGGCATTCATAAGGGATTTCCTTAGTCTCTTTTATGAAAGGCATGTGAGAAAGCTATCACTTATGATAATATTAAATCTGCCTTTCAGTCTTGTAGCCTCTATCCTTATTGCCAAAAGTTGTATTGGATTAATCACAGTTTTCTACCACTACCTTCTCCACCTTCATTTGTCCTTCCTCATAGTCATTAGGCTTGAAAACTCTAAAAATGAGCCTCGATTTTCAGTGGAGGACCAACAAAGTTCTTCAAGCAGTTGGTAATACTTCAGATGATTAATTGAAGAAAATGATTGCCTGGTTGGGAGATCTGGATGCAATGGTACAAGTTAGTTTAGAGATATCAGAGGTGGCAGGGCAACAAGTATAGCAAAAGGCAATTCATGTTGCACCAAAAGCAGATAAATGATGGATGACTACTACCTGTGTTATTGATTGAAAGGAAGCCATATGTCTTTATGATATTCGTCAGAAGGATGATAAAAAGAAGAAGGAAAAGAAAGCTACCAATACTTTCCTTTATTTTACTCCCACTGCTACCAAACCTCAAAAAGTCCAACCTACAAGATTTACACCTATTCTCCACCCCCGCCAGCTCAGAGTTACCTTCATCATACCTACCTGCTCATGACAATCCTCCTCTGTTTTGCCTAGATCTGCTGGTCTTTTAAGTGACAATAAAGACACAGAAACTAGCCCTTCTTCACCAACCCCACCTCCTCGACAACGGCTGCCAGCACCTACTACCATCCTACTAGCAACTCCTACAAACTGAAGGCTCCCTGATCGTCCATTTTCTATGGCTCTGAGACGATAAAAGTAATCTTTTTTGTTCTCTTCTCTAATTTCTTCTGTTTTTGCTCTTTTTCATTTCCGGAGGTGTTTTTTTGTATTCTAATATTTTCTTATCACAAAATTGAGCCCAGAATTGAGTCCTCCTGCTTCAGGGCTTTCATTTAATATATATTTCACCTTTCCGGCATGTATATTGGGCAACTTCTATCCTTATTACCGTGGTTGACATTGTTGCCATTCGCTGTCCCGCATCCGTGCGCCGTCCCGCTTGGCCGTTTCGTACGGAGGTACCGCACCTAAGTTTTGTATGTTACACTAATAGTGATTGTGGTGTCTGCCACCTGCGTAACATACAAAACTTAGGAGCTGTACCTCCGTACGTTAACCATTATAAAATTATAATATTATCATACATGTCAGGAATCATTTTAGCGGTGGTCGTGCTTTCACGGCACTTAACATTAATTCAGTTTCCGCCCTCAAAACACTAGGCTCTAAACACAGCAGATTTGTCATAGTCGTGAACTTCTCGATCAGGACCTTCAATCCTTATCCACCAATTTAATAGCAACTCATAGATTGTATACGCTTTCCTGAGCTTTGCCCAGGGAGATCGAATTAGAGATATATCTTGTGAAACCACCTGATTCATACCTAATTAAATCCCAAATGAGTACCTCCAATGGGAGCCCTGTGTCTCGTAACAGACACTGTGGGAGACCTCTTGTGTAGGGTATTGAGGGGGTGTTGTTGTTGATGGGATAGAGTACTGTACAAACCACCGGGAAAATAAATATATGATGGAGGTCCGCTACATGCCTCTCATATCAAGGCCGCATCCTCTGGTCGTAATTGACTGCGTGTCCACCACGTCCTTCAGCACGATGTTGTCACACTGAAACACCCCGGGTAAAACGGAGCCGCCCGCATGCCAAGTTCCTTATCGATAAGGTGAAAAAAATTGGTCCACTGAAACATTGCATCGCCAACAGGCTAGTTTTCAGCGACTCAAACAAACATCCCATCTACAGGCAGCGCATTAAAAAAATGTCAGGCAATGATAGCATCACCGTCGGAGTTCTTGGTAAGATAGTTCTTTTCTCGATTGTTTATTAATGGGTGGAAAACCTGGGAAAGCAGTAGTTCTAACAATCACCTTACGAGTAGCTCTCCAAGGAGCCTTTTCTGAACACTTAGAGTTGTTGAAGAAAGCTGCGGAACAAATAGAAACTCCCAAGAAGATTGGGTTTATCTCAGTCAAGACTCCAGTCGATTTGGAGAAATGCTCGGCTCTAATTATTCCTGGTAAACCCCCCCAGGGACAACTCTTCTACCTAGCAGCTAACTCGAAAACAGGTGGAGAGAGCACTACAATGGCTTTGATTGCTGAACGCAGTAACATCCTCGAGCCTCTCAGAGAGTTTGTTAAAGTTCACCGTCGTCCCACTTGGGGTACATGTGCCGGCATGATCCTTCTCAGCGAAGCCGCAAACCGTACCAAGAAAGGCGGGCAAGCTCTTATCGGGGGCCTCTCTGTTCGCGTGAACCGCAATCACTTCGGTCGTCAAGTAGAATCCTTCGATGCTCCTTTGGATCTCAGTTTTCTTGGGAATGATGAAGCACCATTCCGAGGCGTATTCATCCGAGCGCCAATTGTTGAATCGATCCTTCCAAAAGAAGAGTGGTCGGAAGATGTCGAAGTTCGCGCACCATCAAAGAAACCCAAGGGAGCGATCGAGGAGTGCTTTAGTGATAACGAGAATGTGGAGATACTTTGCCAACTCCAGAGGAGGTTGCTACCTGCCGAAGGACTCGGTGCTACCGATGGACTCCGACACGAGTCCGATCCCAAAGGGGAAGTCGGTAAAATTTGTGTGGGTCTTAAGGAGAGCTGCACTAATGCTAGTAGCATTGTTGCTGTTCGTCAGGGAAATGTCGTTGGAACCAGTTTTCACCCGGAGTTGACTGGGGATCTGAGAATGCACAAATGGTGGCTTGGTGAGATTTTGAAGGATCTCACGAGAAGAGAGGAGCTTCTCCACGCCCAGGAGAACCACTGACGTCTTAGCTCATCTAGAGACTTCATAATAGGGTGCATAGTGATGTAAAGGGCCTAGAGGCTACTAGAAGTTAGATTTGTTGCGCTTCGGCGGTGCTGTTTTTGAGTTTTTGCTCTCATATTGCTTGCGGGTTATAAGATTGAGGTTAGACACCAAAATATTTTGTTGCTTCATGTTGAGCCACAATACCAATTTAAAGCATTTTTTAATCAAGAATAATAATAATAAACGGACCATACTCTTCTCCAATCTATCAAGGTATCATACTCGAGTATGATAGAGAGAATCTAGACCAGCAACCAGAAACCCGACCAATCAGAAAATCAGACGGGTTATCATACATTTTGAGCCTCCAACTAACCCTTGAACTAGCCCTTGAACTACCATAGCCCTTACTTACACCTTGGGCCAGACGTCATGCCATCAACATCAGGCCATCTCCCATCCTACCCCCATCATTCCTTCTTTATCGCTCAACCCACGATAACCCAACCTCCTTGAAATTCCCAAAACTCCAATGGCAACAAAAACACCCCGTCTTGTTGTTTGTGGTGGAAGCGGCTTTCTTGGTATATCCCTGTCTGTGATTATTTTAACGCCTTTACTAACCACCTCGCCCAGGTTCACGCATTTGCAAATCAGCCGTTTCCCGGGGTTGGACTGTAACTTCAGTCAGGTAAACAAAGCTCCCAGAAAGCCTCCTCCGCACCATCACTGATTTAGGTTGATTTCTCCCCTCGTTTCAGTCGCACCGGCGAACCCGATTGGAACACAACTTTTGGATCTCCGACACCCCCGGAATGGTCTGGCAAGGTAACCTGGGCCAGAGCAAACCTCTTGTCCCCTTCAACCTATAAGGAGTATCTTAAGGATGCGACAGCAGTGGTCCATTCCATGGGCATCTTGTTGGAGGCTGACTATAAGGAAGCCTTGAGTGGAAAAGAAAACCCAATTACCAGCATCTGTAGGGCTTTCGACTCGGCCAAGGGAACCTCCAGGAATCCATTGAAGGAGAACAGTTCTGAAAAACCGCAGCTGACATATGAGACGATGAATCGTGATTCCGGTAAGTAATTCAATCCCGCCAGCACCCCTCGCATCCTAACATCCACCCAGCCATAACCCTTGCAGAAGAATCTATTGCGGCAGCGCCTGAAACTCTCTCTTCATTCGTCTATATTTCTGCAGCCAGTGGATCCATAGTTCTCCCTAGCCGCTACCTCTCTACAAAGAGAGAAGCTGAAGCAGCTATCACCGCCCTCTCCACATCCAAGAAACCATTCCGCCCAATACTACTCCGTCCAGGGTTCCTATACGACCCTACCCGCCCGGTCACCATGCCCTTGGCAGGGTTGATTGGTGTCGCCTCAGCTGTGAATTCACTTTTCGGCGGAAAGCTACCGTTACTGGGGGCTGCGGGGTATAAACCGTTGAAGGTTGGGGTTGTAGCGGAGGCGGCTGTCGAGGCCATCGCCCATGAGTCTGTTAAGGGTACCGTAGAGGTTAAGGATATTGAGAAGTTGCACTCGGAGGCCTGGAGGAGAGATATGTTGTAAGTTTGGAAAAGGACCTCGGTGGCTTGACGCTAGCCCCATGCTTTTTGGGATGATCAAGAAAATAATGCTTGTGCGATGGCGTCAAATATCTGCACCCTATATGGTTAATATCATATTGTCTTCACTCGACAGCTTGCAAAGCATACTACTTCTCTTTTTATTACCCGCCGGAGAGCTAACATCTCATCAACGTTGTGGGTCAAAAAATTCAGGATTGATAGGACGGTACCAACAAACCTCTAGCTCATACGAGTACTTTGCTCACTTATACCCCAAGTGGAGCTAGTCCGGCCCCCCTCCTATCTTTCCTAGGACAAAAGATGTTCCCCCGCTACCCTCATACACACCCATACATCTCCAACGCCAAACTTTGCTCCCGTCCGCCCTGGATATCGAGCTATTGAGCCAGGCTCCATCTTGTCCTCCATTCATTGCTGATTCGTCTTAACACCGGTATGCGTTACACCAAGTCCCAAGATCCGTCTACTCCACCCATGGCAACCCCTCCAAATCCACGATCCGTATACACCGTATCATATCACCAAGTCGTTCAGGATGGCTCAGTATCCAATCCGATACGTCCGAATAACCGAGTGATTCCTGGTGACCGTTTCCCTCGCATCTTCAAACATCTAAAGCCATCAGCTGTTGATATCTCAGAGTATCGCTATCCCAAATACCACTGCCGTTTCCACCACCACTACCACCTCACCACCGCCATTGTCACCATCACACTTTCCACATAGCATACCGGTATGACCAGACAAGACCCCATGGTGAAACCACACCTCCCCCCCCACCCCTACCATAAATTCCATGAGAGTGGGAAAAAGAGAAAGAAGTCTGGAGGAGCCACCCTCCTTCTTATCTCAAGAGTCACGCAGACTCCACTTTTTGCTCCGCACAGACACAGCAGCTTGATATGAAACCGAGCGTGTCTCCACATAGACAGGATAATCTGCCCATGGGATGGAGAGGGATAGATCTTTGGCTGGCTTATCTGGCTATTACTCTGTCTATCTCTCTATCTCTACAGAACCCCTCTATATCTGTGATTCCGAAAACTCAATCACATCACAGATCTGAGCTACCTTTAATCTCTATCTACGTGCGATGGACGAATTGGGTTTGCGTGTCTTTTGGACACCGGCGGGGCAAGTGAGGAGTGTTGGCCGGAAATATGGTCAATGCGAGTCGGGATTATTCTTCTCTTTGATAACTATGATGATAGCGTTGGAGTTGGGGAATGTTGGAGGCGGTGGTTGTAGTGATTTACCCTTCATCGAGAGGCTTGGGTTGGTTAAGGGTTCAACCGGTGGCTGGAGATTCGTCCAAAGCCCATTCCAATCACTGTAAGGTGTCTTCTCCGGAAGTATCACTTCACCGGCCAATTGTGTCTGGAATCATAGAAGAGTGAAGGATTGGGGGGTGTGGTGCTCTTGAGGGGGTGGCCTACTCGGATTTTGCAAGCGCAAGCGCAGGGAGAGGAGGAGGGGGAGGAGGAGGAGGGGTTCCAGATCAGATCCCGATATAATCAGATCCTAATTCTTTATTTTTTTACTTTTCCTAAAGATGACCACGATATAATGAAACCGCCAACACTATGGTTTCATCGAAAGTCTCAAACCCAACAAAAGAAGATCCCTCCCTTCCTCACTCCCCAAAAAGAAAAGAAGGACAAGGGACAAAAAAAGCCACCACGAAACCATCCTCGAACTCTTTTTTTTCTTTTTCTTCTTCTTCTCCTTCTCAGCTCAGCTCCAAACCAGTCCAATTCACAACCAAACCCACTCAAACAGCAACCACGACAATAAAAAAAAACCTTCTCGACGTTTCCAAAAATTTTAAGGGAAGAGAAGAGAAAAGGGAGACGAATCAGCCCGTTCTTTCCGACTTCGCACCGCACTCGGGCACAACGGCACGGAACCAATCTACGAGTGACGCACCGTGACGATGGCCCTAGCGATCAGAACTAACTTAACTCAGCATCATATCGAACCAAAGCTCCAAGCGCACGGGGACATGCAACCAATCAAACACTCAGTCACGGGAGAGGTGGTGTGGGGTGGTGCAAAAACATAATTTAGATTCAGTCAAAACTACCAGATCTCTGGGTACCTGTTTAGTTGAGCTAAGTGCTGGAATTGACCAACAGGGAGTGTAGCAGGTACATAACCCCCATCTATCCCTCAGAGTACCAATTCGACGGAGAGGAAAGCACTGGGTAACAGCTAGCTGACCAGCCAGCGATGACAGTCTCACCGGCATGAGTACTTTTTTTCATTCGCAAAACGGATTTAAAAATTTTTTAAAAATTGGAACTGGCTAAAAAAAAACTAACTATGATAACATGTACGTACAGTTCATCAGGGCTACCTTTATTCCTCTCCATTTTTATCTATACTTACAATCAAGCAATCAAACAACCAACCTTACCCAACACCTCCCATCATCATCATCATCGAGTCGATGAATTCCAACGCAGATGAACAAATCAACAAGGCACCCGTCCGACTGGACCAGCCCATTGAGTATTTCAAAAGGAGCGCACGAACAATCGATCGATCAGCAAGGGGTAACCCACGATACATAAGAAAAGGAAGGAAGGAAGGAAGGAACACCATCCACAATCGGGGGTGTAAATGAAATTGAAATTCATCGTGGGAAATTTGATTTGGGGGGTTTCCACATCAGCAATCTATCTGCGGTCAGCTAGCTAGTGGTTTGTGTGTCACGCACGTACCTACGATACCTATCGGACCGTAGTAAAGCACTGTACTACGCAAATGGAGCACCGTACCCCGCAATGCAGACATGGGGGGTCACTCGTTAGCAACGTCAATGGCGTGCACGCGAGAGGGGGAAATGGAGGAACGGGAAGAAGTGAGGTGAGGTGAGGTGGTTATGGGGTGAACGGGACAAGGGAAAGAGGAAAGAGGAGGATAGGAAGAAGAGGGGGGGGTAAGAGCCTCGTTCGTTCGTCCGTCCATTCGCCAGCTCGCTTGAAGAGAAAGGTTAAAATTGAAAAGGAAAAAAAGAAGTTCAATCGGATCAATTGATGAGCTGTTCTGCTCAGATGAAGGTAATGACGAAGCTAAGTTAGTCTATTTCTTTTTAAAACCTACGTACATACATACATTCAGCTCCGCCCCTAATGCTTCGGATTTATCAAATTCGAAACGCCTTTGGGAATCGAACGAATGGAGGTTTGTTGATCTTGTAACTGGCTAATTTGTCTGCCTGCCTGCTCGCCTGCTCAGTCAATCTGGATCTCTCTCTCTCTTTTTTTTTTCCCTTCCAAAACCCATTCTACACTTTTTTTCTTTTGGCTTTCTTAGAGCGCTCAGACCATGCCCGCCGCTCTAACCAGTCCATTCAGGATGAATTGTGCTAGGAATGGGCAGGTCACGACAAAGTTACCCAAGCATGACCTCGCCAATAAGGCTTTTTTTTTTTTTTCGACCCCACACACGACGCGACACTCGCAACACCCACACAGCATCATCCGTACTTGTACCACTGGTATGATATGCTCCTCACAATGCAGTAATGAGCCACAGTTACATACAAGGCATCCTCTCTCACGACCGCTCACTCGAACAGCGCCTATTCATACCCGTTTCTACTAGCTAGCCAACGAGTCAGTCAGCCAATCCTGTCCCTTCATTCCAATCGTACCGCTTCTTCCCCCCCCCTCCTCCCTTTTTTTTTTTCCCCTCCCTCGAACCCCAAGCATTGAGATATTAACCAAGCAGAGTTAACCAATTTGGCTACAGTGCATCCAATCTCCAACTTGAGCATACTACTCTCTCCCTCCCTACAGAGACTCTTGCTCTCCCACTCCTCCTCCTTACGGTATGCTTCTGTCATTCGATTCTCACCAACTCGGATTCCTTCACATGTACCGGTATGCCCTCCATCCATCCCGTAACGCCGGAGGCAAAGAAGGAAGGCAGGGAGGGGGGGAGGGAAGTCCCCCCTTTTTTCCAAGTCCTCAAAATAAATGTTATAAACCCACCTGCACCAACTGCACGGACGAGACGAAGATAAGTACAGTTAACATGCGCCCGGCAGCAAGCAGCTACTGTAGCTAGGTATCACAATTGTATCATAGGTAAGGTAAGGTAAGGCAGGCTAGGTCGGAGCAGAAAGTGCAGCACAATGCACCATGGTCGAATGGCAACCGTGCATCCACTTCTCTCATCCCCGTAAAGTATGGTACTTGAGTACCGTACACCCACCACCAAGCTGCATTCCGACCCACCAATCCTCCACCATATGCTCGTACCCTCCCCCCCCTCCCCCCCGGGTTCCCGTGTCATAAGTAAGTAAGTAAGCAACCGAACAACCAATTGCCGCAGCCGAATCAAAACGGTGGTCAGTTCCTGCCGGGGTGTCGTCGGGATAACATGTATTATGATACCGGTAGAAAGGAGGAGGGGGGAAGGGGAAGAGGGGGGGGATACCTGCGGTGGATGGTGCGACCGAGCCAACGTTTTCCCTCTTTCAAAAAACAGGTTGGCAAATTGGTCCATCCCGGTTACAATATGCACAACTACCTCATAGCAGTGAGTGAGGGGAAAGAAGGCATAGAAGTGAACATGATGTTTGCCTATTCGAACAAGTTACCGTTCCGGCAACGGTACCGGTTGCGGGTTTAGGTGGTAGAGTATGGTGCTCGTACTAGACTAGGCTTTCGGTTTTTTTTAGTTTGGTTTGGAGAGTATATCTTTTTTTCATTTTTTTTTTATACCCCCGTGATGGTGTGTGTCGTTTCTTTCTTCCTTTCCTTTCGAAACTGAATGATATCCTTTCACGGTTTGCTGTATCATCATACCACCGGCAGACTACCGTAGTACCGTATTGTATGGTGCGGTTCCAAACCAAAACATGTGATTGTCAGGAACAAATGAGAGAGAGCCTCATATAAATTTATACAATCAAGCGACTCTCTATCAAATCGTGTCGTGAAACAAAATAAAATAGAAAATAAATAAATAACCTTCCCCATCCAGTAAAATGTAAATATCATAAAAACACAAGTTTTACCCTTTTTTTTCTTTTTTTTCTTTTCTTTTTAACCCTTACTTCAGCCGCTCGCCTACCCGCCTACCATACTTTGAGTTATCATACCGGTACGAGTACTCGAGTACGGTAATAAATATCAACCCCCCCCCTTCTCCCTTCCTTATCAAACGAATAGAAAAGCAATTTATCCGGGGAGGGGAGGGGGGGGTATGAGAGATGTGATGGTGGACTTACAAGTAGAACTATACACCACACCACTGCAATCCTAGATACCGTAGATAAATCAACCCGTCTTGGATAGATAGATAGATAGATAGATAGATAGATACTCGTACGAGTAGACAAGACAAGACGCCCGCACACCTCCTTCGGTACTTTTTGTACTCGTACTTGTACCTGCACTAGCATGATACTTGATGAGATCTATCATCTTTTTGTATGTCGACGCGATCAATCAATCAATCAATCAACCATGTCTCGGTACAAGGCGATATCTTTTTTCTTTTTCTTTTTCTTTTTCTTTACTGTTGATAACTTGTTGTACTCGTACTGCCGGTGGACTACCGGTACATACGGCTCCATTCTTTGTTGGACCATGACGGTGAAAGAGGCCGGGGAGAGGGAAAGAAGGGAAAGGAAAAAAAAAGAAAGGAAAAAAATTATATCATATCATAATATCAAGATGTGAGTGCGCCCCTTACTGTGACAAAAACACGGATATCGAGCAAGTTGGTGGTGGATACGGATGGTCGACTGTAGACTAAGTAATGATTCTCCCTCCCTCCCTCCCTCCCGTGTGCCGGTGTTGTACGTGTAAGACAAGAAACTCCGGAGGTAAAAATAAAATAAAAACCCGAATTCTTCAAAGTTACGGTTACTGTAATGTCGCAATTCGGTACTTGTATGAGTACTTGCACGGAATGTTCCAGGGGAAATCCTTCCCTGAAGAAAAAAAAAGAAAAAGAAAAAAAAACACAAAGGGAAAAGGGCAAAAACAGATATGATATGATACGGTAGGTAAAGTCGTACCACTGTTAATGTCTGATAAGGAACGAACGAACGAACGAACGAGAAAACGGTATGGATGGATGGATGGATGGATGTATGTACAGTATGTACTGTATGTGTGTATGTATGGATGGGATGAAACACTGGCAGCTTATCAGGACTTTGTAGATCCCTCTGGCAGGGTTTTAAAAAATATAAAGGGAAAGGAAAAAAAAAAAAAATTTCATCTGAGCTTCCGTGCTCGGTACCCCACATAATGATGGAAATGATGATGATAGCAATGGGCTGCCCGTGCGGGTCTATGTGTACTATGTATGAACTGTGCTTGTACTGTACGGGGTACGGAACAGCGCAGGTTATGACGCGGAGAAGTAAGTGCTGGTCGAGTACCGCAGAAGCAACTGCTCGACTTTTCGCCGAAAGAGGAGAGGAGAGAAAAGAGAGAGAGGCCCGCGAGCACTCATACGGTACTATCTAGCTTCTATCGCAACTGCTACAAGAACAGAATTCCAGACGGTACATCCACACATACAAAGGGAAGGAGAACTGATTCCGTTACATTATCGTGTCGGAACGGAAACATTCCGGAGAATAAATGATTAAACTTCATTTGCACTGTGCTATCATATAGTATATTAAGGGAGAAATCACAAGAGCATCGGTAATGTCAATTCTGGACGGAGGGGGGGGGGTACATACTCTATTTTGTTTTATCTGGTTATTCATTTATTGAAATTCCCGTTTTTAATATCCAAATAACAAACGGTAACGGTTATCGGACCTCAAACCTACTTTATTTGCGGAATATACCAGCAAGTAACGAGCGGAGAAAAGGGGACGGACCCCTGATGGAGGAGAGAGCGTGGTATTGTGTGTACCTAGATTAGCCTATTACCCGTATGAGATACTGGATGAGGTGGCCGTGTGGTGATGGTAGGGCGGCACCAGGAGCGTAGAGGAGGAGGCCAGAAGAGGTGGTATGCAAAATGATGTGCTTGGTTATCATACGGTAACTTACACCATAAGTTAGGTAGATATCGTAAATATATAGTATTGGTATGATATGCATACTCGTACAGATTCACCACCCCTTGAACGAATAGATGAATGAATGGATGGATAAACCCCTCGACGCCCCAAGAACCAGATAGTGGAAGTAAACGAGGAACAGAGAAAAAGAAAGGGTTGCGACGAATCGAAACAAAACAACGCCAAAATCATCCATGAGCCAGCTCTGAGGGGACGTGCAGGCATAGGCAGACCTAAATGCCCCGTCAAAGGGGAAAATAAAAATAAAATAAAATACGAGGGGGGCAATTCGGAGAAATGATATATCCGACAAGGAGAGGGGCCGGCTCAAGTTAAAGAACGGTTTCTGAGAAGTAAATAGACAAAAGCGAAAATGATAAAAGATAAAAAGGAATATGATACCTGTAGATCATTCATTGCACGGCACACCGAAGCGACCTGCTGTGACTATGCGTAGGATTGGAGCAGATTTCGAATCTTATCTGCATGTTTGTATTGCCAGAATCCCTGCATCATATCTCATTGTGCAGCGTATTCAGGTTTTTCTCTCACTCCTCCTCCTGTACACGCGGTCCCTCCCCCGCCATTGCTGGAGCTAGATATGCCCTTTCTACATCCCGCCCTTGCCCTGCTGCTGTTGCCGCGCTAGAGCCTGCTCAATAACCTCTTTGCTAATCCCCGGCAGCTCACTTGCTCCGTTAGTATCCTTGACTACCGAGGAACGGATAGGTGGATCCATGACACCGGGCCAAATGTCGACCGGCAAGAGGTGGCCCTGTTCCTCCTTGAATGCCTCTCTATCTGCTAGATCATCTGCAAGAGACCAAAAAACTGCCGTTAGTTCCACACAAGGTCTCGGGATTTGGGATATGAATGAAAAAGAAAAAAATGGAACTCTCAAGGCAATAAGATCTAAGACATCAATTAGACGTAGGAGGGTGTGTGGCTAGTGATGAGAGTAAAAAAAAAAAAAAAGAGTAGTAAAGAGATAGTATGCAGGTTCCAGGGCAGATCAAAAGGGGAAATTCACCATCGTAGAGCACCTGTAGCTTCTTCATAGCATCTCGAATGATGGTCTCCATTCGGACAGAAACGCCTTTCCTTCTGCCGACCTCTATTACCATAGCATCGTAGGCGCTTATGAAACCTTCGTAGAATTCACCCAACTGCCAGAGTTCATCCAGTCTATCCTCCATACCCCTTGCATACCCTTCCTGCTGTGTCTCAAATTCTCGCATGCGTTCCACATAAGAGCCTAGATTGGTCTGGAATTGCTCAAAAAGCGCAAAGGTAGCATAGGTATTGTGGCGCAACATATTCAGTTCCTCGAGTTGTCCCAAGACATGTGATTGAATGTTTTCCATATCATTATATCTTTCTTTCAATTCGGTGACGACATCGTCCACCTCCATTGCGTCTTTCTCAAGGACCCTGTACATCTCTTGTTTCTCTTCTGGTGACATACTCTCCGCCATACCCATCATTCCACCTTCCTGATTGTGATTTGTAGTGGGCTCAGATTGTTTTAGCGCCTCAGAACAACGATCGTAATGTTGGGTCAAAGCTTCGAGTAGCCCTGCCATTGCCCCCGCCTGCTCTTCTAGGGCATGTATCTGGGGCCTTATAGATTCGCTCGTGATTCGCCCGCCTTGCGAATTATTGGATGCGAACTCTGTGAGGTTATTGATCGTCGTATCGAGCTCCGAGATATCCCCATCAAATTCAGTTAAAGACGTCAAAAGCGCATCGTGAGATTCCTAGACGGCGAGTGCCCGCTTTGGTAAGCTAATGATGTAGAAGAGGGGGGAAATTGCATAATTGAGGGAAAGAGTGATTGGATGCATCTTTGTACACCCTATAAGAGTCGTGCATCCACATACCTGCACTTGATCGATCAAATGCCGCAATCTCGACTTAAGGTTCTCAATCCCCTCATCGTCGACAAAATCATGCAATGTCCGAGGTTTTGTTGCCATTGGTGTAGATTCTTCGCGTTCCGGATTACCTGGAGGATTGAATGCGGGATCAACCACTGACTTCCGGAGCACTCCCAAGGTTTGATTGAGCCTAGCATCTGCATTGTCCAAGTCCGCAACAATTTTCTACATAATTATTACGGTCTGAGTCAGCCTAGTGACACCCGATCTAAGACTTAAAACGAAACAACGCTCTTTCGCCATCCGTCATGAAGATGAGCAACGGCCGTGCAAACTACCACTCCCCAGCCCAAGAAACCTATCACCCCATCTGACCCCTGTAATCGACGGAAAAAGGATGATGATAATAGGAAAATCTCCTGAACAGCTAATCTGGAGCGAACCACAGCCCTCCAGATATGATAGATGATAAAAGAAATGAAATGAAAATGAAAAAGGTCAGGCAAACCTCGAAATCGCTCTTGGAAGCCTCCCGAACCGAGTGCATCATCCTGTTCACCCTGATAACAACCAAGAGCTGGTCTTGCAAGGCGTTTCGTAAGAAGAGACATTTTGAAGAGACGATGGCGGCCTCCTGCAAGGCCCCTCTTGCGGAATCTACCAAGGAGTTTGCGCGAGCACACAAGGCTACAGAGGCCAAAGAACGTTTGGCATCGAGGAACCAGTTTGTCAGATCCACAGACTGAGGGGGAGCTCCTACAGCTCCAGCTGCTGCCTCAGAGGCGGAAACGGGCAAAGATGGAGGCGGCGGCGAGGATGGCGACATGATGCCTGATTATGAGCAGCCGAGTACCTTACGGCCGAGAAGCGACGTAGCAGCTCGTTTGTTCTGCCTTTTGCGAGAGGGGATGATGATGATTTCTTTCCCTTTCACTATGGAGCTCTTTCAGGATCTCTCGTGGGTGTTTGCAGACAAATAGTCTCAGGGGAGTTAGCACCAAAACCTTTCGTGTACTCTTTTTTTTTTTTGAATAAAGTATATTCTGGGATAGCTTTCAAGCGAAGCTTAGCTAGCTAAATTGATTGTATTGAGGCTGTAATGATCCTTGGATCGAGAAGAAACAAGTTGAAATACAGGTAATGGGCAAAAGGGTCCTGGTGAGAGATAGACTCCAAAGGTCAGACAGGGTGGATAGAGAGAGCTGGACACGGTGAATTGTACGGGGTTTTTCAGATTTCAGATTTTCCGCTGTGGGGTCTCACCCGCCTTGTTTATTGGATTCCCCAAGAGCTCCGAGAATGCTGCACTGCACGGTATCTTTCCTGTTCGGAGATGTCGAGATGGGTGTTTCGTCCAGAAATGAAGTTACCGTAGCGGATGGTGCAATCGCCGTCAAAATGATGAGAACCTTCAAGGTAACGCTCCCAGCCTGTAAAGGGAAAACCTAACCCAGCCAAGCTGCGCTCCCCTTCGTTAAAAACTCATCACAGGTCCACGACTCAAGCTTTCTAGAGTAAACGCACAGTATTACAGGGCGATAATTATTCTCTCCAGATATCGCCTCCCTTCGTCTCCATCCTCCGACAGAAGCGACATCTGCTCTTCTCTTCTCTCTTCTCTCTTCCCCTGCAACACACGTTATTGACAAGGCGGGATAGTGGTTGTTTTTATCACATCTTGCTTTTCTCTGCCACCCCACCAAAAAAGTGTGGCCGAGAACCAACCACACCCACCCCTTCCAAGAGATCTCGCACCGTAGCATAACCCCGGTTGGGCGCCACAACCCAGCTCTGTACTTGACAAAAATGACGGTGCTCACCCCATCCTCGACCGCACCTCCAAAACTACCACTGCCACGGCTCCCCTCAGCTCCCACACGCACCCCCACATCGTTGCCCGCTGTTCCACCCCCGCCCCTGAAAAACACTTGCGAAGACGCCAGGGCTGCAAGACCCTCTAAAAAACGAAAAATTTCCTCCATTTTCAACTCCAATACTTGCACCGAGGAGATGGACGAGAGCGAGCCAGAACTTTTTGTCCCCGCTATCCCAGCGGATGCAACCGAGAACGTCAAAAAGGGCGTCGGACCTTTCTTGTCGAAGCACATCCCGGAACAATACGCGCCCCAGGGACCGCGTGGTCAGCAAGACACACAGCAAGATGAATCCGAGAAGGGCAACACAAGGTATTGTTATCGGCATAGGCCCGATATCAAATGTAGGCGGCGGGCGGACGAGCCTACTATGGAGCAATTGCAAAAGGTTTGATTACAAATCTGGGGGTGCGAGAAAATATCAAGGGATCTTTTTTGAACCTAAGACTGACAGAAAATTTGGCTAATTGCCCTAAAAGCAAATGGAAACGCTACCCGCTGCGGACCAGCAAGCGATTTCGCACGTTTGGTCGCTATTCTCTGCTGCGCCAGCAATCCATAGAAACATGATGCTACAAGGAATCCTGACACAATGCTGCTTTCCTCAACTTTCCTTTATATCCGCTGCTCTCAGTACCTTGATTCGCATTGACTTCTTGACCGCACTTCCTCCCGAGATTGCGTTCAAAATTCTATGCTATTTGGATACTGCGTCCTTATGTAAGGCCGCACAAGTCAGCCATCGATGGAGAATGTTAGCAGACGATGACGTCGTATGGCATAAGATGTGCGAACAGCATATCGATAGGAAGTGTGACAAGTGCGGATGGGGACTCCCTCTACTGGAGAGGAAGAGATTAAGGGCAACGAAAAGGCAGATGGAATTGAGGGCGAAGGAACCTGATTTGATTTTTACGGCTAGTATCACTGCCGGGACAAGACTGCTCAATATTCATGGGAAACGCTCAACGGACAATGGTTGTGAGGATGTTGAGATGACACCAAGCTCACCGGCGAAGCGGCCTTGCCAACGCCCCGAATCCGAAGTTGTGCCCCCCCCGTCAAAAACCCGTCCTTGGAAGGATGTCTACTCAGAACGATATAAGGTGGAATCGAACTGGCGTCGGGGAAGGTGCACGAAGAAGATCTTCCAAGGCCATTCGGACGGAATAATGTGTCTACAATTCGACGACAACACGCTCGCGACTGGCTCCTACGATCGCACTATAAAGATCTGGGACATCGAGAGTGGGCAGGAGATCCGAACCCTGGTAGGACACGACCTAGGAGTCCGCGCGCTGATGTTTGACGACCAAAAGCTTATTTCGGGCTCCCTCGATAAATCCCTAAAGATATGGAATTGGCGAACAGGTGAATGCATATCAACATTGCGGGGCCACGCGGCCGGCGTGATATGTGTTCACTTTAATGAGAATCTGCTTGCGTCCGGTTCCGTCGACAAGACCATCAAGATATGGAACTTTGCCGACAAGAGCCGCTTCGCGCTGAAGGGACATACGGACTGGGTCAATTCAGTGCGATTGGACTCTGGTTCGAGAACAGTTTTCTCCGCGTCAGACGACCAGACAGTGAGAATGTGGGATCTCGATACAAAGGCATGCATAAGGGTATTCGAGGGGCATGTTGGCCACGTCCAGCAGGTGATACCTCTACAACTTCTAAATCATCAATCCCCGAGAGGAGGTGCAGCAGCAACAGACGGAGAAGATTCCTCCTCCTCCACCTTCTCCCCTCCGACAAATCCCCAGATCCCCCCATCACGCCACCATCCCAACCATCCATTGGAGGAGTACCGAGAAGCAAACGCCTCGGATTCGCCCAATCGGCCCCGCGCTCGCGCGCCTCCACCAAAGCAGATGATCACAGCCGCGCTCGACTCCCAAGTCAAGTTCTGGGACGTTGCCACAGGTAAATGCACCAAAACGCTGTTCGGCCACGTCGAGGGCGTGTGGGCCCTAGCTGCAGACTCCCTCCGAGTAATATCGGGTGCGCAGGATCGAATGGTGAAGGTTTGGGACGTTCGCACAGGCCGCTGTCAGCGCACCATCACCGGCCACTCTGGCCCCGTTACATGCGTCGGTCTGAGCGACTCCAAGATGGTTACCGGAGGGGAGGATGGCGAAGCAAGACTATACTGCTTCAAGAGCGAGGGTAGCAGCGCCAATGGCTGGACCACCCCGCCTGAGATGGTAGGCAGCAGCGATTCCGGCAGCGCCATTGCGTACTCCGACGGCCAGGCCGGGGATTATTATGATGGTAACGGTGATGGAGATTCCGGGTAATGGATTGAAGGATGGGATTTGATCTGATCACGGTCTTCCTTCCTCTCCCCAGACACAGAAACTTTAAACTATCGTGACGTATCGTTACACTCAGTCGTACCCTAAGCGCATATCCATATTTCCAATTTTCTCTTTTGTCTAATCAAATTCGCCCAAGGTGGGGGCGATTCGCATCGTTATTTTTTGCTATTTTTTCCATTATTCTTTGCGCGGTTTAATCCCTCCATTTGTTTTTCTTTTGTCGTTGTTGACAGGCCCACCCGCTTCCTTCCTTCCTTCCTACTTCATCGCACCGTTACCGGTACACCATAGGAATCTTCCAAAGGGGACTCATTCATCATCGACAGGGTAGTTGCCGTAGTTGTTGATTTTATTCCTCTCTATTTCATCGTCTTCTGGGGTCGAGAGAACTATTATTCTTTTTCGTGTTCCCTTCATTGCTTTTTGGCGGCGGAAAACAGGGTTTTCGGATTTTGTTTTGTTCGGGTTTCTATCCCACCCATCCATCCAGCGAGCGATGTCTATATTGAAATTCGTTTTTTTTCTTCTTTCTTTCTATTTCTTATCTCCACCCATGCCTCCAAAAAAAAAACACTTGATTAGAATTTCCTCCTCCTCGAAGCACGGTTTCCCGTGTGAGGTTTATTTATCTTATCGTTGTACGAATGATGTTCGTACATGACATGACAGACTTGAGATATGATAGAAGAAAAACTTCCAATAGGTTCGTTTCATCGTAATCTGCATCTCTCTCCTTCTCTCTATTTGAACAGAAATTAAATATCCACCACCCTACCCTTTAAGAGGCTTCAATTCCTTGTTCATGCCATCTTCTAGTAATGCGTGGGGTACATACCGTGGAATGCAGGTGAGATCGCTGTGAGAAGGAGCACTGTGCTCATCTTTTTTTGGACCGGACCCTGATTCTTTTTTTGGGAGTGTTTTTTTGTGATGTGATAGTACAGTTCAATTCAGTTTATTCAGGAAACGTTCGGATGACGAGTATACGGTATATTTTTTCTCCTCCCTTCTCCGCCCTGCCCATCGGAAAGCGCCAGAGGGGGTCCCTGCATGAGGTTTTTTTAATTCGGTCCCTTATTTATTTTGTTGATGGATTCCGTCGTTTCCCTCTCAGTCTGATCTGCTCTGTTCTCCATCCTCATTTCCTTCCTTCCTTCCCTCCTTTTTTTCTTCCATACCTATCGTTACTGCGCGGTACAACACCGTATCCTACCCTTGCTGAGTTTGCTTTTTCGCGGTAAAGAACTAAACATTCAGCCTTCCTCCACTCGACTGGTCGACAAGCGGGATCACCCGCCGAATCAGTACTTTCATCGTGAACGCGAGGCTCGGTTGGTTATTATAAGTTAATTAGCTGGATGGGTTTGAATTGGTTGGCTGATGGACTGACGGACTGGTTGGCTGGCTACCGGTCAGAATGTGTGTAAGTTATGCATGTTCGGCCAAAAGAGCTGCGGGAGAAAGGAATGGTCAAAAAGTAAATAAAAAAAAGGTTTGAAAGAAAGAAAAGGCGATGGAACAGCCAAGCACAGCCAAGCAGTGCCTCTCCAGAAATCCAATACGGTAGGAGAGAGAGAGATGGCGAAAAAAACTGATGGGAGTGATGAGGCGAATTGTCCTTGCTTATTTTTTATTTTTTTCTCGATGAAGAGAAAAAATTCAACGCCGTTTCATTCGCCCTCGACCATCTTGTGTGTTTATGTCAGTATCGATAGTCCATTGAAGGTCTAGATTGTAATTCGGCCATCCGGCTCATCTCAGCGAAAAGAAGAAAAAAAAGGGCCAGCGGTCCCTTGCCTTGGGCCGAGGTTCAAAAAAAAAAGGTCACACTTCCTTCTTTGCTGTTGCACGGGTACGAGTACCGTACAGTGTCTGTGCTGTAAGTTATTGAGGAAGATCATTCCCTCCACCTCCACCCAACCCCACAGTCGTACGAAACCCCAACTGCAAGGCAACAACAGCCACGAGGGGAGACAAGAGGGAAGGAAGGAAGTACCCTACCGGTACTATACCCGAGACCAGACGCAGTTGAGAGAGAAAAGAAGAAGAAAAGGTGAGAACCTCAGGCCATACCAGTAGCCCCGCCTGCCAAACCGATACAGTACCGGTATACCATCCTGGAGTTCAATTCAATCTTCAATTCAATTCAGATCGTCCACCCCCCCCCGCGGATCGGACTACCCACCGGCATCCGTATGTGTAAGCATTGAATCAAAGTGGGTGTGGTGGGGGAACGGGGAATGGGGAGAGGGGGGGATAGGCATGATACCTCGTGAGTATTCTCGCTGCAGAATACCGGTACTCGAGTAAAAAAAAAAATGAGAATCTGCAAAACAGTTGACATGGAAATTTGAATCTCCACCAAACCCTCAAAAAGTGAGACAAAGGGGGGGCTGGTCGCGGCGAAGGGGGAGATATACCGTAGGGTTATTATAGAAGTACAAGTACTCCTGCAAGTATACGTACCGTATGCGTGGTATCATACAGAAAACTGAAACGGAAGGGGAGGAAGGGAAGGGGAAGAAGGGTTTCGTTTGGTACTGTACGAGTACTCTTACAGTACGATACCGGTATTACATTGTTGAAAAAGGTAAGGTACAGTACACTTTGCACCGCACTCGAGTAGTCTAACCGAACATGTGTGGGGATGAAGCAAAAAGGGAAACTTTCCCAAATGAGAGAACACGAGCACGAGAAGGGAAGAGATGGGAAACGAGCAGAAAACGCAGGCAGTTTAGGAATATCCTATCATAGACTTTTTTCTTTTCTTTTTCTTGCGTGGTAACCTCAAACAAAAAACGTTCTTTTGAAAACTACTAGCCTCCCGCTCCCCCGCTGCAGGACCCCGACCGCACCAGTCAGTCTCCGTGCCGCGGTTCCCGTAGCTCCTCTAACTCTAAGGAAAGTGTTTTCCCTCAAAAATTTGCAATTCAAAGCAGAAGGAAAAATAAAAAGGGAAGGATCGTGAAATCTCCCGGGATTTGTTTAGTTTGAACTCAAATCTTGGAACCTTTTTTTTGGGGGGTGGGTGTGTTGATCGTTTCTCAACTCCGCATGCTCTGGTTTGTCTATTGCGCGTTATCATAACTCTCCACGCTCTCGGTATATAAAAAAGTAAACAATGTCATGAAGTATTCTCCCTTTTCCCTTTTTCCTTTTTCCCCCCTTCCCTCAGCCTTCCAAAACCCCCCACCCCTCACCGGAAATAGGATACGCGCTTGGGTTTTGAATAAGGTCTGCCGAACCTTGGCTCATTCGTCGAAATTACTATTTGTGTAACCTTTTTTTCCGCAGCTACTCGGCCAATCTACGTTAAATTTTGGTGAAGGAAGAAGGTCTGTCGAACTCTCGCCCAGTGGCTAGGGAGGATCCCGTTCCCTGAGTGGTCGAGAGGCTACTAGGCCAATCAGAGGGGTTCGACAGACTTGCCCTTGATACCCAGGACTGTGCCAATTCCAGATACATGACATTGAAATGAATTTATTTCCGGGATTCATGCTCCGCATTGTGTGCGATGATGACTGCAGGTCGGAATTATAACGCGGGGTGTTGTGAGTGAGGGCGAACAAGCCAGCGTCGGACGACCGAGGTGATATGTGGCGGTGCAACACATTCCCACCTTTCCTCGGTCACGCTGAGGGTGTTACTGTACGAGTCCTGTGTCGTATGTCCACCTCACTCCCTCCTCAGCCTACAGGTACTGTGCCCCAAAGAAAGTTGTAAACTGTGGGAGTTTTGTTGGGGAGTTAGGCAGGAGGTGCAGAAAAAGGAAAGGAGAGGGAAGGGAATACCGGTAATCTGGAGAGGGCACAAGTACGAGTACCTCCAACACCAAGTTACTGGTAGCCAGTCAAAAAGGAACATGAAATTCCCAGAGGCAAAGTTACGTAAGGATCCCCCGAAAGCTACGAGTAAAGTGCCGATAGAGAATGACAGACGACAGCAAAGTAAAGGGCTCTCGCCACAGATCATCAGCCCATCGGCTAGTTTTTATTCCCCCCAAGGTAGCGAGTGACATTTGATAATCGGCTCTGTGTCAACAAATCAATGCGTTCCGTTATCGTTCGTCAGCTCAATGGCGAGAAGTTTTTTTTTTCTGACAGAAAAGAAAAGAAAAGAAAAGAAGAAAAAAAACTAGTGTGATGATGATGCCTTCTTCCACCACAACCCCCCGTGTCTTCCCGAGAGGTCGAATTGAATCTCGTACTTTCTGACGACGACAATTATTGGAAGAAGCAAGGAAAGTCAAGAGAAGAAGAAAAAGGAAAAAGGAAAAATGGTTGAATCCCAAAACCGCCCAATCAATTTCCTAGCGCTGGATTGCGGGCGTCTAAGTATAATGTCTTTTTTCTTTTCTTTTCCCTTCTGTCCGCCTGCTTCTTCCCTTCACGGCTAACTTTCCCGAATATCGGTATCCCATGAGCACAATCAGTCAATTTGCAACTGGTCGTTTGCAAATTGGTCTGCCACGGGTACCTTACAGTTTTTCTCTCTCTCGAGCCAGTTTGCTAGTTCGTTAAGAGTACTTGAAATTTGTCACAAATATTCAGCTAATTAATTTGTTCAGCTACGGTAGCAGGTTATCGTGAGCCCCCCGGCCTAAAAAGATTGGTATTTTGATACGATACCAGCGCTGTAGAATCGTGGTCATGTTGCCCCCCCTCTAACGGGCCGACAACAATTAACAACACACCAAGTCATCACTGTAACTTGACCCGAAAAAGCTACAAGCGCAAAGTACTGTACAAGTATAGTACATAAGCGTAAAGTTTTGAATATGGGAATTGCAATATGGGCAAGGTCCAGCACATACACACATCCCATCCCCAAAACCGTCAAGCTCTCGACGTGTTGTAGCGGGAGAGGGTGAGAAGGCATCATAGTCCAAAGAAGGGGGGCGTAGTGGTTGGAGAAGTCAGAAGGAGAGGGGGTGGGCGTGGTGCGTGCGTTCACGCATGCTGACTTCTCAAACCCAGCCTTTCCAATTCCTGCTCCGAATTGCCTGTGCGTTCTTGGAAATCCCGAGAGTGGATTGGCAGGCAAGTCTGAAGGAAAACCTTAAACTCATCATCATACATCGTGTAGCACACGAGCAATATACACTTATGATATCAAAAGGAAAAGCATCAGCCCACACACAAGCCACCGCCACCACTATCAGACTTTCCGCACCTACTAATGATATGGTATTGCACCCTGGAATGCTCGGTGAGGTTCGCGATGCCGGAGACCTCTTTAACAGCTATCATCACCCATAAAACCCCAACCTATTCCCCGCCAACTCCCCGCACCGATTCGTCATCACCCATCATCATCATCATCGCCACCGCAAAGCAAGCAAGAGTTCAACCTTATACTATATGTATTCCTGCATAATAGCTTTTCCTCCCCCATTCATTCGTCCCCGCAACTCCAATTACGCCGCTACAAGTACTGCACTCGTACCTGTACGAGCTCACGCGCAATTCCATCATGCATCTCGCTTCCCCAATTACTCATTCACCCGGGCGAGTATCATAGCTGCAAATGCAAGCAAATTACAGGGTAACAAATAATAATTACGAGTAGGGTATAGCGTGAATGATATTCCGCGGCAACAACAAAAAAATTTCTACTGTAGGAGATCGGAACTCATCAGAAAGATGAAGTAGAAAAAAAGAAAAGAAAAGAAAAAGTTAAATTACGGCATGTAACGGTAGTTAGTAGTCTAATGTCCGACGAACCCGTCATGTTCTAAACTTTGCTTCCTTTAAAAAAAAAAACAAAAAAAACATCTGGGTAAACGGGGTTTTATTGAGTAAATAAATACAATTTTAATTCAGAGGGGGGGGAGGGGGAGTTGAAATGAGATGTTGCGCATCGCATCTCTCTCTGGACTACCGTATCATAACTACTCGTAAAGGGGCTTACATCAGCTAGTTATTGGTGATCGTGTAATTGTGATGGTGACCGGAGGTAACTTGTACCGCTGTACTAGTACTCGAGTATTATGCTATCATCATAATATTATAAAAGAGTTTCATATTGCACCGGTGGGTAAGCGGTAAAAGCGCAGCGTAGGGCTCCCGCCGACGAATACCATACCGGTAGTCGAGTAAAAAAAGGATAGTACGTATAGCAACATGAACTGCCTAAGCAAAACTAGAAGCGAAAGCAGATGGCGTTGGGTACAGTACTCATATCTATTCGCATCGTGGAAAATACAAGCACTAGTACAATACAGTACTAGCACAGGTATGATACAATCCGCTTCTAACCCCGAACGACGAGAACATCTCAGCACACAAACAGACTAGTCCCCGCCCTCCTCCGCCGCCCGTCCGTCCCTTCTTCACCTTGCCAAAAAATTTACACCCCCCAAAGGTTACACAAGACTATCCAGCGGCACCTCGGGTTCTTCCAGTGGTTTTGTCGGTCGCACGCGAAATTTAGATTTCAACCTTATTCCAAAACGGTAACCTACAACTCCCTTCCCCCCCCGGAGCAGCTTGGGAAAAACCGGGGGTTGTATGTGGCGGTGCATGCACGAGCACAAGTACTCGTACCATAATTCTACTCGTACAAGTACGGTATTTTTCTTTGCCCTGGTTGCTGTGTGAGTTCTGAGACATTGCGCAAAAAGACGTGAAAAGATAATCCTTGAGTGGGGTTCTCATTTCTTTTTTTTTGACCTTTTGGGAAGTTTTGAGTTGCACCACAGTCCATTGCGAGATTCAAGGTCACGTGAGGGGCTTTGTTCATCACGGTCGAAAAAAAAAAATATTGTGACAGGGTAAGGTAAACTTTTTCGGGGGGTGGGAGATCTGCCTTTTTTTGCTGTCGCTATGGATCGAGAAGACTAGCTCTCATCGGATACTTTTCTGATATGTTTGCTTTTGTTTCTCCGTGAGTTTGTTGGTTTGTACATCTTTTTCCTCATTTCCCTCTTCTCTCTTTCTAATCTCTCTCATGGACCTTACGAGTAAGTATTAGTTACCGGTATTTTAAAACCATCTCCCTCCTCCCTTTCCCTTCTCCTTACCGCGGCGTGCGCTCAAAGTCGGGGATAAATTTCATGCGGCTGCGCGCTCGAGCGCGCTCCCATCATAATCATCACCATCATCGTGAGGTCATCGCTACCCTCACGTCGCTTCGGGACTAGCTCGGTACTTGCGCATTGTACTTGGCTCGCTCGTCATCCGCTCGTTCGCTGAAAGGAAAAGCGAGTGGGAGGCTCTGCTTAAGGTCCCCCCACCCCCAAGGGGTCCATCTCCTGGTTTTCGACGGGCAAGGGAGGAAATTTCGGAACTCCCCGATCATCAGGAACATTGCCGCAAATCGCCCTTTCGAGACCTGCTGCCAGCTTACTGTTACTGTACTCGTACGGTACTCGTACTTGTCGCCTTCCCGGTCGCAACACCACAGGACCCCCGCGTGAGCCCTATGTCATCGTCCCTTCAACGAAATGGCAAAAGGACCAGCTACAATGCGCGGAAGAGAGCTGTGCATCGCGTGAAAAGAGCGGGATGTCTCTTAGTAGTTTTGAAACCAAATCAGAAAGGGCCGTCGGAGCAGAGATGCATCTACCCGCTGCTCGTTCCCTTGGGCCATCTCGATATTCATATATTAATTTGGAAGGCCGGATCCTCGTAACCAGAATGCGAACCGGCCGCGGAAAACGGATTGGAAGTTGTAATAACCCGCTCTTATATTGATAACTGTGTGAGCCGTATTAGTACCGCGATTCGTGCCTTGTCCATTCCTTCGGTCCGGTTTTAAAAGAAACTTGGTGCTCGTGGGGTGATAATCCAAGATGGTACTTATTCACAAAGGGTATCATGCGAGCGTCTTCCCCAGCGATTTTGGACCGAATCCGTAATTTCGTATTTCGACCCTGACCGCAACAGCCGAGTCCACGATGTTTGGAGTCGGCGGAGCAGTAAATCTTCGGCGATTTGGGAAAGAAAGGTCGAAGGTGGCCCACGTCGTTTAACCCGGTAACTAGTAGAAGTGAAATCCGACACCGAGTAACCCTCGGTTCTTGTTTTTGCGGTTGTCCTCGACCCCCCCCCTTTCCCCATGCGCGAAACAAAACGACTACACGAGACCTCAGACAATTGTCCGAGCGCGGGTCAAACAAATACTGGTACTCGAGTACCGGTACTGTAAAGTAGATTGCCCGCTCCGAAGCGGTTAACCTTATGTGCATTGTTTCACGCAAATACCGTAACGTGACGTCGTTCCACTCCAAAGACACGCTTTGACCCGCGTTTTTGGCGGTGCTACGATCGGTACGAGTACGGTAGGCGGACAGCTGCACACCCACACACGGACATCGCGACAAGGAAGGAAAGAGAGAAAAAAAAAAAGAAAGAGAGGCTTGTGTCCCCTGTCTCGCCTGAGCTGATCTTAAACATCGCGCACCCAGGTTTCTCACCGCGACGGCAAATTTGAGCCTCTGTTTCCCCCCCGTCAACAAATTCCGCGAACGAGAAGGTCTTTCCGACTGAGACACGGTCACTAACAACCGTTAGTCGTGATGGAAAACCTTCTCTGGACGTCGTTCGTCTAAAAAAAGACGTTGCGGTCACCTCGCAGCCGAACCGCGAAGCGTGATTCGTCGTATGCAGCGCCATCTCCGCACCTAAAAACCCGGAAATCGCACGTACCAAAGAACCACATCACTTTTTTCTACTGCACGACTGTCAGAAATGTTCGTAGCCGAGATATATGATATGCTGATGATGGGTGGGAAGTATCGTAGAGAAATGGAAGAGGCATGAAATAATAACCAGAGCCAGAGAAGCATTCTTCCCACCGGACCGGTGATACTGTTAATCCTTTTCCCGGCGGAAGGTATGTATGCATGCACAAGTATATGTATGTAGGAACGCGGGGTAGGCCAATAGGGAAAAAAGTATCGGAACATGCCCTAGGAAACTCCGCATCGGGTTTCGTATTCTTATTATTATTAAGTATTCCCCCTCTCTCCCTTCTGCCAAAGTACTCATTCTAAGGGTATTCCTCTTTTCAATGTATCGAAATGCGGGACGGTGTCCCTCCCCATAGGTCAGCCTTAGGAGGGAACGGTGTCAATTTTCCTTTTGTACCTAAACACCCGGCGATTCATTGCGTCACGATCCAAAGAGAAAAGGGTAAGTAAGGGTGACAGGCGGCGGGCGGTAAGAGAGGGGAATGGAATGGGGGGAAATAGGGTACTCCCGGAAAAATTGTAGCCCCAAAGTGTGAGAATTATTATGGCTTGTTTGTCGTGGATCCAGTACTCGCTGCCACGACTTGTGCAGACGAGCGGAGACACAGAGAGAGGGAGAGGAAAGCGCGCTCTGTCGCAAAAGGGTCCCTCCGATCATCATGATCGATCACTTGGAAAAACCTAAATTGGTGTTTTTCTTTCGAAAAGGTAAGCCCGTTCACCGGTAGACCTATCTAGGGGAAGAGAAGGGAAAAAAAAGAACATCTCGATAAAATTGGAGGGCAAATCAAGATGGACGGAATATGGGAATCAAAGGGAGATTCGCAGGCGATTATGATTTTGAGTGCTTATCTTTTCGTTCCCCCTTCTCGTCCATTTCTTGCGCTCGGCCGGGCTGATGATCAGTTTACATATCTGACATTCTCATGATGAAAAGGCGGGAGGGGGCAAAAGGCATTTTAGGGGTCGAGTTGGTTGTGATTGAGTGAGCGAGCGATAGGACTTGCCCTGGTCAGGGAAAAAGCTTGGTTTTCGCTCAATCTTGCCTTATTACGAGTATATGATAGAGAATCCTTTTCTTTTTCTCTCTTGTTGCTATCATATGAGACGATCAGCCATATCTATCATCTTACGGTAGGTCCTGATTTGATCTTCCACCATGTCGACAACATTCGACGAGACACCGAAAGATCCCCACCCTCCCCTTTCAGCACAGTAGGCGAGATGTGATGCGCACACCAACAAGGTTAAATTAACGCGCGTACGAGTACTGGAGCGACACAAGGTTAACCGGCATCAGAAATATAAAAAGTCGTGAAGTGGACACAAGCAATTGGCAATCATTCAGGGAACACCGCTATTTATCCGCCTCGTTTCAAAATGGTGGTGTGGTGAACCGCTCAGGAATAGACGTATGTACTCGAGTACAGTACTCGTACCAGCATTAACCGATAGCAATACCGTACCGACTTACTGGTTGCAGCTGCAGATCCACAATCTACTGCATTGCATCTGGTACGAGTCAGAGGGCGTGAGAGATGAAAAAGATAGGATGGACGGAAAAAACAAAAAGAAAAAAAAAAAAAAAAAACAGAAATATGGAACGCCAGGAAGGATGAAAAAAAAAATAAGCGATCTGCCCCTATCAAGTTGGATAAAACAAAATACGAGCAGTGGCGCTTTGATGATTATAGTATTGAATGATATGGTGCGGATATTCCTCGTGGATCCAAGGGATGTTCCCGAGGGGGTTTTTACGTTTACAAAAGTTTGTGGGATATACAGTACGCTTCTCGAAACCGTAAGGAAACTGCCAGATGGTGTCGCAAAAGTGGGCCTCTGGCCAGTGAACCATCTCTCCCTTTTCTTCCCACCATGAGACGGAGGAGGAGGAGTCCGTCCGCCTTTACTACTCGTACCGGTACATACTATGCAGGCACGGTGATCATTTAGCGTACAGTACTCGAGTACCTCCCGTTCCGGTGAACCCTGTCAGACAGGTCTCCTGGGATTTCCCGAAGCATATCCATATGAAGAACTCGAGAACGAGAAGAGGGGATACGAAGGGACAAATGGGGTTGTGCGTGTGGGGCTACAGTTTGTAAAACTTTTTTTTTGCCAGAGAAGATAGGTTACTAATACAGTACAACGCCTGTGGCAAGGAAGAGGGCGGAGGTTGAATGCAAGCCTGCCTGCAGTCTTGCTGCATGTCCGGCTTGAACAATTGCCCGCTCCGTTGGTTCCATGGTGTCGTTGGTAAGCGACCAAAGAAGGCACCCTTGATCCATCCCAGGGCTCGGAGAGAGAGAGGGGCCGAGGAAACTACTTGTATCGTATATACTAAGGTATTTGTGTGATTTGGACGACCGTTCCAGAATAGCCCAGATGGTGGTGGTGGTGGTGGGGCGTAATGAATAGATGGATGGGGTGATGAGGGAAGGGGGATGAAAAGGTGCGAAGAAGGAAAGTCCTGTCGGGAAACAGGAAGGAGTTGAGAGGATGTTTGCAACCCCGCCGAACCGCCCCTCAGAGCGGGGTCTGGACAGGCGAGACGTATTCCGTGCAGTACTCGTACGGTACCGTGCTCCTCCTTGCTCAAAGCTCTCTCTGATCCCTTACTCATCTTGTAAGAAGAGTGCTGGGGTTCCTGAAGGTTAGCTTGTTTTAGGTGCGAAATGATTTTTTTTTCTTTTCTTTTTTTCTTTCTCTTTTCCGGGTGGGGGGTGATACGGTAGGTTCAGCCAGGATTGAAAGCTGTAGGTACTCAAGTGAGAGGTACCAGAAAGAGAGGTTTTGGCATGGTTGATACTATTAATTTCATCGGCTCGGTACCAGATATCTGGGTAACAATAGAAATAAGGATCCAGGATATACCTTCCCTAGTTTGTCAACAAGTACCGGTATGGTATGATACCATCATACGCTTATCAGTTGGCGGCGAATTTTCAGGCAATGGGACATTCCGACAGGGAATGGGGACGCTGGGATGCCGGTGTCCCAGTGTAGCGCAACCCAGCCGAAACACCAGACCGAAAATCGAACAAATTCGTGAGTTGAAGTTCCGAGTGGTGGTGGCGCGGACGGAAGCAAAAACACTCGCTTGCGGGCCAATCTAAGACAAGTCAGAGCGAATTCCGTCATGGCAAAGAGTTCATCTTTTTCCATAAGCCCTAGCAAAAACCGAAACACAACCCCTCAGTGGGTACCCCAGTACTCGAGTACCTGTGCGGTGCTCGAGTACTCGTACCGTACTTTACTGTATGGATATTGTACTCGTACACACAGACATTTTGTGTGGGCAAACCTTGGCATGATGCGGTCTGTGTGCTTGCAGTTTATTGTAGGATCAAGATTCTGGTACCGCCGTAAACTCGAAACTTTACGAGGGGTTCGGGGGCTGGCTATGCTGAAGCACGGTATTCATAAGGAGGGGCTGTACCGATGCTATGTATCCTATACGGTACTCGAGTATCATACACATCAGTGCCGAAAATGTCGTGCAGCTCTACAGTACGAGTATAGTACCGGTATTTCCTCTCCGGAGAGCCCTTGAGGCACGGCGTTTACAATTGTGCTTGCTCCGATATGAGGAGAGAAAAAAAAAAAGGAGCACGGTCCGTACTCATCGAACGGGGAAGTCGTTCCAAAGGTGGCCGCTACAGTACTTACTATACAAAAAAACTTCGAGTTCAGTTAGGTACTTTTATGCGGCTGATAACATTGAGCGCCTCGCAGTGCAGACTCACCAGCCGTTGCTATTCGTCCCTTATCTCTGACCCCTGTCGACATGCATCCAATCCCAGCAACTTCTTCGACCCGCGGAGGTACAATCTGTTATGAACCCCACGCACCAAGGCTCAATTCAATTGCATGCCAGGATTTTTTTCTCTCTTCCCTTTCCCCTACCGGTATGCGTATTCAGGCCTCCGGACATAGCACCCGCTACAGTGTACTCGTACCGTACCGTATTCTGTTTATTTACTTATTCCCATGATATTATTTTGTCTTTTAATTCCTATCTCAACCTCTTTAGGGGGTTGCGGGTAGCAGGTCGGCCCTAATTCTAGACTAGTCTCAGCTCCTGTTGACATTCCCTTTGCGGACTGCCTACCGTAGTCGATGGGATACGGTACAGTACCCACAGCGACAAAGTTCCCACTTCAGGCGTCAAAACGCAAGCTGCTGGTTACTGGTACCGCCATACAGTACTCTGATCCTGCTTCCGAGAAACGATTCGTGGAATCTTGAAGCCAATTGCTGGTTTTTGGTTTACTCGTTCCCAGCGTTCCCGCTGTGAGCGTCATTCTTTTGTGACCCTGTGCCTTTTGCGTGGTGGATTGGGGAAAATAGGACGGAAATAGGAAGAATATGAACATCCCACTAGCCAACTAGGGGCATTTCCTTCATTCCTATTGGAAACGGACCGGCTCCATAGGCCCGTTTTAGACTAAATTGGCGCCGTTTCTAAGATACCGCACCCATTCTCTATCAACGATAACCTCCTCCTTTCCGCGTAACATTCTCTCCCTGAAGGGTGTTGCATCGGGAGCCAGGGCGCAGTGGCCGGCACCCATAAAAGACGTTAAGAGCAACCAAGGGAGAAAGAGAGGGCGAGTGCGGACTCCTCGTATGTATCCGATCCCTGTGTCCGGGCAACAGGAGAGTGAAACCTCAAAAAAAAAAAAAAAAAAAGGAAAATCGAAAAAATCATCAATTCTCGAGTACTGGCGAGCGTATTTCCACTGCGACCAATAATTTGGGACCAATCGATGGGCTGCCACTAGATAGTCTAGAGAACGGTTGCCAGTATTCAAGTAGAGAGAGAGACATGGGGCAAAACGTGTAGATAGATAGGGCGTTTCTGGCATGTGTGTCTCACCTGCGCTTCGACCGCCCGCATGCAGTTTGTGTCCATATTCTCTCATGCTTCTCTAGCTCCATTTGAGTGAAAGATAGCTTCCTTGGAAGCTATCGTAGATGTGAGGTTACAAGATTTGGAGGGAGGGTGTGTGTGTGAGAGCCATAAACGATGATCCTGTCTGGGCCCGAATATGAAGTGAAGTGTGGCTGCGAGGGAAGAAAATTTTTTGGACCGTTGTGGACATGGGTCCACTACATCCCTGATGCAACTCTCTTATCCAACCCTCCAAAAAATTTACTTTTTCCCTGAACTGCATTCTAGAGGCTAGAATGGGGCATTGTAGGACTTTCTTATTTTTTATTTTTTTATTTATATTTTTATTTATTTACAATTTTATTCTTGCCTCTCCCTCACTCACACACTCAAGCTCGCCACGCTTCACCGCGCAGCCAGGCTCAAATAGAATTAGGGTGAGGTAGGGATGGTCAATGAATGGTACGGCGGGTAGGGGTCAATTATTGTAGTGGTGGTGGTGGTGGTGGGAGTTGGTGGTGAGTTTAGGTGTTCTGTCTGAGTAGGGGACGGCAATCACGGTAGACTAACGGGAGTCAAAGGGGCAGGGCAAAGGGTGGGGGTTTTGCCTTCGCAGAGCAGGAGTGAATATTGTATCGGACTTGGGTTGGATTGACTTTTTTTTCTTTTCAGGTTCAATATTGTGATTAGTGAGAATGAGTGCAGAGGACAGACAACAAAGAGTGAGGACACAAGTATCATGTAGTGCCAGCAGTGGGTGTAAAGCAGCAACGAAGGGGACAGAGGAAAAAAACCAAAACTACTACAGCAGCATAAAGGTCCGAAAGGGCAGCGGACTTTGCTCTCTTGCTACAACGGGCATCGCAAACAGGAGGGTGGTGGGGAGCCAGGAAATTCCAAGCTGCGTGCAGGCTGTTGAGCGGTCGAGGAGGTTGGCTGGCTGGCTGTTCGAGAGCCCGGGGGGTGGTGGGTTGGGTGGGAAGGAGTGGATAGGTTGGTTGTTGTTGAGCGAGGTTGCTTGCTTTGCCTGCCTAGCATTGTAATTTCTGGCAAGCACTGCTCTAGAATAGTACGACGGCCACCTTGCGTTTCCATCACGGTGTACGGCGGACGGGCTCACGTTTTCCTTTTTCCCATTTTTTTTTTCTTTTTCGTCGTCACCCTCCTCACCTCTTTTCCCTTTTCTTTGGCCTCTCCCACCTCTTTTTCTGCCCTCTTCCTCCCCCCGTTTCTTCCTCCCCATCCACTCTCCAAACGAGACCGCTCACCCCCTCCCCCTCCCTCTCCCTCCCCACCCCCCCCTCCCCAGAAAGGCCGTTGCTCGCCTACTACAAATCCTCTGGGTTCCCCCGAATTGCTCGCTCTGCTTGCCACTCGCAGCACAGAGCCCCAAGAGCGATCCTCCCCCCCACCACCCGCTACAAAAGCACCTCGAAATCCGTTCGCTTGCTGAACGGTTCCTGTCTGCAGCTGTCACGACGATTGGTTTCTCCGTGACTACTCTCTCTCCAGGCAGAGTGCACTCCTCATTTCGATCCTTTGGATTTCCTTCCACCGTAGTAGGGTTAGGATCTCGATCGGACTCGAATTTGCGTTTGCCTTCCAGCAGCTTGCTTGCATCATCAAGGTGTGTGATATCACCCCACCACAGGAGAAACCCCCTAGAAATGTTGCCCGCGGATTAAGATATTTAATCTTCATCATGGCCGTCACAGTCTAAAAAGTTGTTGGTGTAGCTAATTAGGTGTCTTTACAGGCATTTAATTGTTAATATTCTTTTTTTTGTTCTCGAGTTTCGTTTTCTGGTTTTCTGGTTCTTTCTCTTCTTTGCCCTTACGCCTTGACGAGTTTTTCGAAGAACTTTTCCGGCCTATCTACATATCCCGGGTCCTCCCCTTCTCATCAGTATAGTTTTTTTTTTTTCCTCACTTCCGACACACAAGGGACAACCGAGAAAATGCCATACACACCACCGAGCCAGTCTCCGGCTACTTCGCCGGCCGCCAGTAGGTCAAGTTCGATGTCGTTACATGACGCAAGACCGCCGGCAACGACAATGTCAAACACAGTCATGAAATCGAGCAATCCTCCTCGTTCAGCAACATACCTGTACAAGAATCGACGAACTCCGACTACCTCTCCCTCAATCAATAACCAATACCTTCCTCCAAGGCCGTTAGTACAGCATAGGCACAGTGATTCGGGTGGCAGCATTCACAGACCGCCGGTCCCCGTAGATAATGGGATGTCAATGCCAACTGGTGCCATCATTTCGCCACCCGATTCGTCGCAGAACTCAAGTGATGAGGAAGAAGCAGCAAAGGGAAACGGAAACACTGCTGTTCGAGGTAGACGAAGGGATTTGGGCAGTCTAGAGTTGCAACTCAAGGAGGCTATCAAGAACATTCCCCAACGGAGGGAACCTTCGCCGGATTCAACAAACCCAAAATCACCTTCACCAACAGATCCCGAGAGTAAGGGTAGGAGATTACATTCACGGTCTGCTTCGGAAACGATGTTGGCCTATGCAATCAATGGTGGAAGTGGTAGTGGGAGCGAGGATGATGACGAAGGCTATCGGATAGCGCCACCAATGGTACGTAAGAAGAGTGGAGAGGTTGTTAAATCGTCCCTGAAGACACCCAATCGGTCACGACCTTGCAGCATGCCATCTACCCCAACATTTCCCAAGGCTGTTCACTTTGACTCACACATCGAACACGTCCGACACTTTTTGCATTCGGAAAAGCCATCGGCGGTTAGTGCTGGATCATCACCAGTTGAGTCGTACGATGGTGAGACCGAATTCCCCTTCAGCGGTGAGGATTCCTTCCGGTCCCGGGAACCACCTTTCGAATGGGAGATTTCATTGCCAAACTTCCCCAAGGATTCCGATTCCAGGAAGCATATGCCTGTTAGGATTGAGCGAGTTGTTCTGTCGACTGATAAGAAGAATTTGATTGGTACCGTTGCTGTTTCCAATATTGCTTTCCAGAAGTCAGTGGTAGTCCGATTCACTTTGGATTACTGGGAAACTGTTTCAGAGGTATCTGCGGAGTACAACAACGATGTTAGGAAGAAGCAGAGAGAGGAGGGTGTTGATCGATTCAGTTTTAACATCAAGTTGGTTGACCAGGCCAATCTTGAGAAAAAGCTCTTGTTCTTCTGTGTTCGCTATACCAGTGGTGGTCAGGAATTCTGGGATAACAATAACGGCTTCAACTTCCAGGTCGAGTTCAAGAAGAAAGCTAAACCTCAAAATGGCAAGAATGGGGGGGCGAGACCGCTTCCACGATCGTCCAAGCCTTCCTCTAGACCTCGCATATTGCCCAACAATTTTGACGACGAGTTGGAGAGCTTCGAGGATGCTGGGATCTTTGAGAAACTCAAGAATGCCGAACTTCCCGAGCCCAAGTCATCGAATCTTACCGATACTACAGAGTCATTGGCACGTCGAGCAAATCCGTCCGGTAACGCTTTCGGTAACAGATATGACTTCAATGCTTCCTTTGCCGCTATTCAGGCGGCCGAAGCATCCCCGGGAAAGAAGATGAGAAGGAAGACTATTAACTTTGATGATGTTGATAGCCCTTACTTTAAGTCTGCTAGCCCCCCAAACCCAGCTCCCGAAGAACCTAAGGCACAAGTTGTTCCGGCTCTTAAGCCTTCTTTACCCACCTCCTCCCTTCCTAGATCCTCAAGGAGCGTAGTCAAGGATACCACATCTCTTGACAGTCCTCCCGCTAGTGGTTCTGGGTCCCCAACAAGGGGTTACCCGCCAGCTCCATTCGCTGGAGGCAAGCCTTCGATTGAATCTTCTTCTTACCGAGAATTGCTTGACAACTACTGCTTCGTAAGTAAAACCTTTCTAACCTCTTTTTAATTCTTTCGCTAATATCGGCCAGTTTGGGTCGTCAAAGGCTTCCCCTCAGCTCTCACAGGGTGCTGAGATTCCTGATAAGATGCATAATCCGACAAACCTTAATACAGCCCTCTATTCAGGTGCTGTATTCGCTACTGACGTGGGACCCGGGTCTCCACTGCCGGAAACGGCGATCAGTCCACGATATGTATCATCACCTTCGCACAATTCTCCGCCTAGTTCGCTGAAATCGCCCGGCAATGCCTCTCCTATTCCAGCAAACTTTGCTGGATATCACCATCACAGACGGGCTTCTGGTGCATTCAAATTTAGTGCCCAGACGCCGACGGCTATCTGTTAAATATCCTTGACCGTTTAGGTCCCAGTGATGCACTGGTCCATATAAGTTTCTACTTGGATAGGGTTATCACGGTTTTTCTTTTCTTTTTCTTTTTTCTTTTTGAAAGGTTCTTTGGAGGAACGAATGGGGTGTATAGCGGGCTGGAGGAGGCCATTGGAAAGGAAGGATCGAAGTTCGAGAAGTTATCCTGATACGGGATATTGGAAAGTTTATGGCGGACATGAGATGATTACGACTCATGAGACTGTACACTCGCGAGGTGTACCTTCGCCCGGGCCCTCGCTTTGTCTTTCGTTTTTTGTCAATTTTTTCCCCCTTGGTGTTGATTGTTTGGCTTTTTTTTTTATTCTCGCATTGTTTTACTATTGCTTTTGTTTGTTTTCCTTTTTTTCTCTCCCTTGCTATACTCTTACGGTGGAGTAGTGGCTACTCCAGCGCAAGAAGAGGCGGTGTGTTCTTACTACACTATAGTTTTCTAGCTCTGTTTTTTGCGGGTTCTTTGGGGTTCTCTTTTACGACTGCTTTTTGCGATGTTTTCCCCTGCATTTCAACAGGCAAGTCGGGTTTGTTACAGCGGGGGTAGTTGTAACTCCACTTCGAAAAAAAAAAAAATTTCTTCCCTGAAATTATTATATTTCCTTCATGGGAGGTTTTATGTTTTAACTATTAGAGCGTCCATGCTTTTATCTCCCTCTCGGGCTCTTGCTCTACGTTTTTTTTTTTGCAGATTTTCATGTTTTCATCATTTTTTCTTTTCGGGTTCGGGTTTCTCTTTCTCGTTCTCTCTCTATTCTTCATTCGACTGGTTGTGATGGGATGGGGATTTCGGTGCGGGCTGGGATGGGTTGGGAAGGGTGAGATACGGCTTCTTGTCGGGAGCGATGGGTTGGTGCGGTTTTTCATGGTTTAATGGACTCACTCCATTTTTTTATGGGCATGCATACATACAGTCAACTGTATTTTTCAGGCGTCACCATCAGTCGTCAAGAGAAAATGGCAGGAAAAAAAATCGCGGAAGCAAAGGCAGAAGCGGGAAGAGAAAAAAAGAAACAAATTCATGAAAGTCACCAAACGAACCAAAATCTTTGTATTATTGCATTGTACACATACTCGAGTAGCATATCATTGGAATTTTCTTATTTATTTTTATCCGTTAATACCGGTATTCCTTCTGGGTTACAGTATTTTCACCTTTTGCCCAGACTCACGATTTACGTATCTATCGCTGAGAAGGAGGCTCTAGAACCTTTTATTTCATTCTGTCCGTTCGCCGATAAATTGGGATTGCATGAGAGAGGGGAAGAACAGATAGGGTGATTTACGCTGTAGCAGTACTGGTAGTCTACAGATAAGCATCGTGGCGTGACACAGGATCGATTGATTGACAGTCTAGTCTAGTCAAGCCCCGTTTTGGTTACTCTTGGGAATCCTCTCTCTCTCTCTCTCTCTCCTCTCCACCCTATCTCTCGGTTCATAAACGGGCGTGGTATACCCTACACCACCACACTGACCGACTGCGGTGTGCTGATTTACTCAACTTATATTCCATTCTATAAAAAGGTGGTGGTGTGATCGTCAAGGGGGCGTGCAGCTATTTACAGCACTTGACAGCTCTTGTAAGACTACCGGTATCCCATTCATCTATCCTTCCCGTATGCCTGTCTGTAACTTGTGCGCGGCACTCGAGTACGGTTGGAGAGGGGGGGGAGGAGGAAATGGGACGTTATTTGATTTTGATAATATTGATTCAGAGTGGCATAGGCCCCACCCCTCATTGTGGTGATGATGCGGAAGCGTGATAGTAGTGGCACTGTGGGGAATGCATGGGGTCCTTGTCGAAGAAGGGCAATCCGCGCTTGGTGGTGGTGGGTTGTTTGTTTTGAATTGGAATAGAGAGTTAGCGGGATTGATCGATATTCAATACCTGCGAACGGGGTACGTTATCAAGAGAGATGTACTGTACTCGTACAGTACTAGCACCGATATATGAATCTTATATCTGCACTTTTTTCTCTTCTATCGGTACGGTATCTTTCTTATTTTTCTCGGGAGGGAGATAGAGAGAGTTTGGTTCGTGGCTTGGTTTGTGGTTTTGGTGATGATGATAAGTTGTGGATGGGATGGGATGGTCTGCACTGATGTTTCCCTATCTTCTCCTCCCAGTTAAATTACCGGTAACACAGATAGCCGGTCATATGAAAAGGTTGCACAGTATCATACAATTGAAATGGGAATAGGTTCCGGAGAAATATCAGCCATAGCCAGTCAACACCTCCTCCCCATCCCCATCCAATTTTTGTCTCTCTGATTTACCCTTTTTTGTTTGGGTGGGGATCGCTGCTGCTGCTGCTTGTGCCTTGCCTTCTTTCCTTCTTCCTTCAAGGGTAACCCCCTCCTTCAACTACGAGTACAAGTACAAACCATTACTAACCGACTCCACTCCACCTCTCCCCCCCCTCCTCCACACCAAAAACCAGCCCCCGCTTCGCCAACACCGATAACGAGACGTACAAGACGAGACTTGACAAGACGGGAGAAAAGCAGCACCCCAGCAGATCCCCACTACTGTACTTCCTCCTCCCACCAACTCTCGACCCGAGAACCGTCACTGCTGCGATAGTCCATAGTACCCCCCATCACGTTATCGTATTCCCCATCACGCTTCAACAAAAAACCCACTTTTCTTACTTTCCCCGCAACTTTTCCTACTTTTTGACCTTACCCTCTCTCTTTCTCTGCCCCTC